CTGATTATTTCAAACACCTCATTTGTTTACATTAGCTTACTAATGTTTGCTATGTTGCCAAATCATTAAAAGAAGATCAAATTCAAAAAACTGAAAAAAGATATGAAAATAACCAAAATAATAGCTGGCTCTGAATCTTTATCACTTCCTAGAAGTGAAACCAAAGTAAATTCTGAATTTCCTCCAGGAAAGAAGAGAAAATATGGAACTACTAAACGAGATACAGGCCTTCTTATGCTACAAATGACACAGATATCATTCAGAATGAACCTAGGAAATCTGCAGATCTAAGTAAGAGTTATTTTAATAAACCTGGTAAGTAGTAAGAGGTCAATGGCAACTCCAGGAAATGTGCTGATATTTCAAGAAAATGACTGCCTTTTCAATTCTCTAAAGGAAGTTATGCACTCTCCATTACGAATTCACCATGAAAAAAATTAATTCACCTGATTTTTCAGAATGAATATACTGCTTTTATTATTACACTTATATGTACTCAAGTATCTTCCCCTATATTCAGCACTGTATTGATGTAAATGCCACTTATAAGGGTCATAATTCAATCATAAAGTGTCGAGGCATATATTCCAAACCAGGAAGTATTTTTGTGTTTATCAAAATCCATTTGCATCCTACACATCCCTACATCTTATCCAAATATGTCACTAAATTATGAAATATAATAGTATAATCTTTGGATTTACAAAGTTGTATGATATTTGATAAGTGTAAAAGTTGTTTTTGGAGCATTTTTCTATAGGATATGGATATGATGATGTCCAGATGTTAAGTCAATGGTTAACATTCCTATGTAGTCAATAGAACCTTGCTGGTATTTGCCAATTATTCGCACATATTCCTTTCTTCAAGTTTCTCAACAAAACTGGACTACCATTGACCTCTTACCACATACATTAAAGAGGGAATCAGATATAGCAAGCAGAATAACAAAAAAATGCTTCAATTTTGGAATTTTTCTTGCTCATGTTATTCCTTTTCATGTCTATTTTTTAAAAATCCCGAAGTGCACACTTTATTTCAGTAAAACATAAGATTTTTACAATAATGTATTGTATTGAATTTAAACATTTTCACCCATTTTTGCACTTTGAATCTATTATAACTTCACCACTTTATAACATATCGTGAATCTTTTGGGAGATATTGTACTTGAGATTGTAAGGAATAGATTGTTAGGTCAATTGTACATGTTGCACGTAATTTTGTCAACACCATAGATCTGATTCTGTCTTTAAAAGAAGACAACGTCATACTTTCCTCAAAAGCAAGGAAAAGCACACATCCCTTCATATTATATTTTGTACCAGAAAATAACAATGTGCAGGTATACGATTTTTTTCCACCAGTAGATTAAAGGCAATCTGAACTGTCTACAATTTTGATGACCATGTGCTTTTTTCAAACGAATATAACTCATTCCAAACACAGCTTAAATCTTTTATTTTTTGCATTAAAGGTGCTTTAGTGTACCCAGATTATAAATTGAGTGTTAATTTTTCTTTAGAATGTATAAATAACTAGACTTTGGAAATTGAACGAAGTTCAATTTCAGACTCCAGATCTAGACTTTTTTAAGCCCAGTCATCTAAAATAAGCCGAGTCATCCAGAATAAGCTGAGTCATCTAGAATAAGATGGATGGATAAAATAGGAAGGTAGGATAGGATAGAATGGGAAGGAACGATAGGATAGAAAAAGAAAGAAGGATAGAATAGAACAGAATAGGAAGAAAGGATATGATAGGAGAGGATAGGAAGGATAGGAAGGAAAGGATATGAAGGAAGGATAGATAGGAAGGATAGGATAGGATCAGATAGGAAGGATGGATGAATTTTTCAATATTTTCTTCTCTACTCTTGACTTTCTATCAGGATACCATCAGATCGATTTTACGAAATTTCAAAACGCCATAACTTCCGAACCGGAAGTCGGATCTAAATTTGATTTAAAGATTTCGATTCCTGACAAAACTCTACCCCTAATTCATAACTCATACGTTAAATTTGGCGAATTTTTATTTTGACCTACTTTTTGGACACACCATAACTTCGGAACCGGAAGTCGGATCGAAATTTGGTTTGCAGATTCGGATTCCTATCAAAATTCTACCCCTAATTCATATCTCATACGTTAAATTTGGAAACTTTTTATTTTGACCTACTTTTCGGACACGCCATAACTTCCGAACCGGTAGTCGGATCGAAATTTGGTTTGCAGATTCGGATTCCTGACAAAATTCTACCCCTAATTCATAACTCAAACGTTAAATTTGGAGAACTTTTTATTTTGACCTACTTTTCGGACACCATATCTCAAAAGTAGGTCCAAATACTTTCTGACGGCAAAAGGCTAACACTATTAGCACACTCTTGGCTACATGTATACACAATTTCGAAGAATATAATTGAAGTGTAGTGTCAGAATCGCAAAAATAAGGAAAACCTTTTAATTTGACCTAGATTTTGACCTAGGCATTTTGGTGTCCAAATTTTGAAGCTAGATGGCTTTTGAGGTTCCATTCTTTTAAAAGCTTTCATTATATTTAGCTGAACTCAGTCTATATTTCGTATTTTTCACTTCGAAAAAATCTTTTTTCCCATTGACTTAACATGGGCACCAAATTTAGCGATTTTTGAGCTTTCAAAACGCCATAACTTCCGAACCGGATGTCCGATCTAAATTTGGTTTGCAGATTCTGATTCCTGAGATCATTCTACACTTATTTCTTAACTCACATGTTGAATTTGGAGAACTTTTTGTTCTGACCTACTTTCCGGACGCCATATCTCAAAATCGGTAACAGTAATCAAAAATCTGATGGCACACTTATGAAAGGGCTGTTTCTGAGCTACAAGATGAAAAAAAGATGAAGACGTTTCGATAAATAACGACGAAGATAATAGACAGAAGGTGGAAAATGTAAGATTTGACCTAGTTCTTGACCTTTGACCTAGATAAAAAATTAACCCAATTTCCGAGGAACTAGGTACTGGACCTGAATCGACCCTATATAAGTCTTGACTCAATGTCTTCTAGTTACTGAGAAAACGTGTAGAGAAAAATAATAATAACTAGACTTTGGAAATTGAACGAAGTTCAATTTCAGACTCCAGATCTAGACTTTTTTTAGCCGAGTCATCCAGAATAAGCCACGTCATCCAAAATAAGCTGAATCATCCAGAAAAAGATGGATAGATGAAAAAGGAAGGAAGGATAGGATAGAATAGGAAGGAACGATAGGGTAGAATAGGAAAGAAGGATAGAATAGAATAGGAAGAAGGGATAGAATAGGAAGGATAGGAAGGAGAGGATACGAAGGAAGGGTAGATAGGAAGGATAGGATAGGATCAGATAGGAAGGATGGATGCATTTTTCAATATTTTCTTCTCTACTCTTGACTTTCTATCAGGATACCATCAGATCGATTTTCCGAAATTTCAAAACGCCATAACTTCCGAACCGGAAGTCGGATCGAAATTTAATTTAAAGATTCGGATTCCTGACAAAATTCTACCCCTAATTCATAACTCATACGTTAAATTTGGCGAATTTTTATTTTGACCTACTTTTCGGACATGCCATAACTTCGGAACCGGAAGTCGGATCGAAATTTGGTTTGCAGATTCGGATTTCTGAGAAAATTCTATTATTAGTTCATAACTCAAACATTATATTTGGAGAACTTTTCATTTTGACCTACTTTTCGGACACCATATCTCAAAAGTGGGTCAAAATACTTCCTGACGGTAAAAGGCTAACACTATTAACACACTCTTGGCTACATATATACACAATTTTGAGGAATATAATTAAAGTGTAGTGTCAGAATCACAAAAATAAGGAAACCTTTGGATTTGACCTAGATTTTGACTTAGGTATTTTGGTGTCAAAATTTTGAAGCTAGATGGCTTTTGAGGTCCCCTTCTTTTAAAAGCTTTCATTAAATTTAGCTAAACTCAGTCTATATTTCATATTTTTCACTTCAAAAAATCTTTTTTTCCCATTGACTTAACATGGGCACCGAATTTAGCGATTTTTGAGCTTTCAAAACGCCATAACTTCTGAACCGGAAGTCCAATCCGAATTTGGTTTTCAGATTCGGAATCCTGAGAAAATTTCCTATAAGACTGATATTCTGAACATTTGATTATGAAAACTTTTTTTGGACCTCGTTTTCGGACACTGATATCTCGAAATCGGTTTGAGATATCAATAACTAAATCGACCCTAGCTTTCCTACTTTTTTATGAGGAACACAATGAAAAAAACCCGGATCGAAAATATTGAAGGACGACCGAGAAAATTGAAAAAAGTGACAAAGTACTGGATTTGACCTAGTTCTTGACCTTTGACCTAGATAAAAATTTGACCCAATTTCCCACCAACTAGATACTGAACCTAAATAAATTGTATAATGGTCTTTACTGGATACCTTATAGTTATTGAAAAAACGGCTACGGAATAATAAGAATAATAAAAATAATAATAAGAATACTGGCAAAAACAATAGACTCCAGATTGATATCTGGAGTCTAATAAAGAAGAAGAAGAAGAAGAATACTGGCAAAAGTAATAGACTCCAGATTTTCAATCTTCAATTATAGAAATAATTACTTTTTTATCCTTATGTGTTGTTATTTCTTTGATAAAGGTGATCAAAGATGGGCACTAGCATTGACCAATGGCGATGTGCTATTGGCAGATTCAACCCATGTAGACAGCCCAACAGATGCGACAATACAGAAAGGAGGGCAGAAAGAGAGTATCATAAAGCTCTACATAAGAATAAAGGCCATCAAAACAGTGCTAGTCATGAGAGTAAAATTCAACAAAGGCAACACCTGTACTGTAGTGACCAAAAGAATACAATCACGCCAAATGAACATGTGGACAATTTGAAACGAAAAGCACAAGAGCTTGCAAACCAATGCAATGAATGGTTTGAAGTGGCTAGAAAAGGCTACACTGATACAACAGCTACACATAAACAAAATGCATCCGTGAACAGCACTGTAACAGCATTCCAAGAAGAGAGAAGCCAAGGTGTGATTGCTAGTGTTCAAAAAGTAGCTTCCAGTGAAAACAACTCAATGAATTACAATGAAGTCACAAAACAAGGAAGTCCAACCATTAATCACCAGGAGAGTGACCCAGTACATCCACATCAGTCAAAAAACATCATTGAGTATGTAAAAGTACCGATGAACCAGCACTGGGCTGAGTCACTACAGAATCTTCCCCAGTTATTATTGATCATCATTCTCTTACTAATAATTGGTGGGATTGAAGTCAACCCTGGTCCTCAAACACAGGGTAAAGGTAACCAGAATTAAGAACAATTTCTTCTGAATATTACATTCAGTATTCAGAGAAGCAAAATGTAATTGTTCTTTTACAATGCAATATAAATATTTATTTAGCTCTGGACTAATCTAATAACCATTAAGCATCAGAATGAACTAGATAACGGCAACTCCGCGGAGTAGCAAATCCCAACGAACAAAATATCAATTACCGAATTCAAATCAATTATACTCATTACTTTGGTTAAAATTGAAAAAATTAGATTTTAGAATTGCGAATTCCTGCAAAGCAGCCATTTTGAATTTTCTGAGGTACAAATCTGAAAAATAATACCATAATTGTGATCTACTCCGAAAATCCTTCAATTTGAGTATAATATAGCCATACTTTGAAGGGATCGGAAAATTATTGCGAAATCGTACATAAGACGGCCATTTTGAATTTTACGAGGCTCGAATCAGAAAAAAGATACAATATTTGCAATCTACTCTTAATTGCCTTTCATTTGAGTATAATAAAGCTATACTTCAGAAAGATCTAAAAATTAGGGAAAATTTCTGTTTTCCTGACCCCCCATACACGGCCCCTGGGGGTCAGAATGAAAAACACGGAATATATGTGAAATAGATAAATTTTGTGAATATACTTCCAAAATTTCAAACAATAATATTAATTACTTTGGTTTAGAATGAAAAATTTATGATTTTTGCGAAAAAGTCCCGTCATTTTTAAAGCGGCGGCCATCTTGAAAAAATTTTTTTTGCGTAAAACTATTTACCAATATACATCTTTCCACTAAATATGAAGAAAATCTGTCGACCAGTATTCGAGTTATCTTCCGGACGGACAGACGGACGGACGGATGGACTGACAGATGGACTGACGGACTGACTGACGGACGGACGGACGGAGGGCTTCACTATATCCCTACCGAACTTCGTTCGTTGGGATAATTAGCAGTAAATAATAAAATGAGAAGCTGAGACTTTGATTTATTGAAGCAATTCAGTATATTACTGTAAAAGCTGTAAATTTTAATTATTTTACACAAATAAGCCAGGGATTAATTTTTTTATTTATAACATTGGAGGGGTATTAAACATTAGACCAGACCTGAGTGCACAGTATTCTGTTTTGTTTCAGATAGTGCAAAAACAGCAACCCACTTTGAGACTTCAGTCCTTGAACTTTTACGTTCATTACTCAATTCCGAAAGAATCAACTTGAATACTTCAACCCCCCTGGGACTCATTGAAGATGTTGTGACCAAACATGGACTGACAATTGTGGACAATGAGGGCAGTGGTGATTGCCTGTTTCAAGCCTTGTCCCATCAACTGGCCTACACCAAGACAGCCAATATAGATCACATAGATTTACGAGAGAAGCTAGTAAAATATGCAAAGCACCATCCATTACTGGTAAGTGCTTGATATCAAATGATTTCTTCAATGTAAAATAACAACATATGTTATGACACAACCTATCCAAGTTGATAAAACTCATTATGAGAATCATTTCAAATTTTCAACAGTATTTGCTTTCTTATTCTGACATGCCATATATTTTGTCATGTCTTTCATCTTCAGCCAAATGGAGAACATGTGACAACACAGTTTGACACTACCATCATAGATGACTGGACACGGTACAACGCAAGTCACCTTGAAATAAATGACGATGAAAAAACAAAGCTAGCATGGTATACAGAGTCCTACATGAACAAGCCGGGGACTTGGGGTGATAATCTAATGATCTGGGCATTTACTCAACTCTTCGATGTTGATGTTGAAATTTTCTCTCAGGGGTCAGAGAATTCCTACAAAATAACTGCCAATAATAACAGCGATAACAAGGTCATTGTTCGGCTCGGGTATATACCACATACCCACTTTCTAAGCCTTGTTAGTTGCAAAGGTACTTTGGCTGCATTTTTGAACTGCCCACGGCGCAAGTCAGTTACATAATGTTTAATAAGTTTTCACCCTAGGTATCACAAAAAAGGAACAATAAGCCTAGCAGTGCAAATTTCATGGTCACACATTTTTGTCAAAAACAGCTCATCCAAAATTTCTACAGTCACATAATTCTTTTGAAAGACATCACGGTTCATAGCAGTGGAACTCCTGTGGTACACTAGCAGAGAGCTGACGCAGTTGACACATGCGGTTGGCTGACAATGTTGCCACTGTGTAATTAGCAGTTTAAGTACACTTGGATGAGCTGTTTTTGTTGAAAAAGTGTGAGAATTGTAATCTGCAATGTAGGGACTCGTTGTTCTTTTTTATGAACAACGAGGGGAAAACTTATTAAACATTGTGCAATATACCTGCGTCACAGGCAGTTCAAAAACTCAGTCTAAGATTGTAACATGAAAACACCTTTCTGGTTTTTAGATTGTGACTTTAGGAGTAAATCAATTAAGAATGTTTTCTTTATGGAAGTAGAAGAGAACAATTGCATTTATAATCAATATTTAATGAACATTAATAGAGGAGTCTCCATATTGATTTGAAATCCCATTTATTCTAATTTTCTCATGCGATTTTAAGAGATTTGCACTTTTAACCTCTAACCACTAACTTTTCTTTCTTTTTGTAAGCATATTTGAATTCAGTGAATTTTTTTCTACAACAATAACTTGATTATACAGTTGACATTTAAATAATTTTCCATGCCTTTTAAAAAAAAAATTGGTCCAAATCTCCATTGATGCAGTGCTAAGATACATTAAAACCTTGGTTTATCCGTTCAATAACCAACGATTTCATGATTAATCACAACAGGTACATTGACAGAGTCATCATTTTAGACAGATTCAATCATAACTTTTTGATAATGAAATCAAGTAACTATTGCAAGCATTTAAAACTGAAGTGAATGGAAGTCTGACTCAAGCAAAACCAATAATGACAAGGGTGACATCTATTATATCAGCTTTATCCAGCTATTTAGAAACTATGGGATTATCTCTTCCCTGTCTTGCTCTAATAAATGACTATTGTATGTAAAATGGTAATTTTGCTGTCATTATTATTTGAAAACATTATTTTTAGACAAAGAAATTTCTGGAGGAGCACTACCTGTAGAAGTCCATCTATCTGAACCAGATGCATTAAAAGACATTGAACAACATTCAGAAACATTGAAACTAGATGATACCAAAGGTAAGGAAGTTTACATTTGCATACCTTTTGAGTGTTAAATTTACTCATTCAAATGTCATCATGATGTTATTATGAATCAACAGCAACATTATTGGAATCCATGTTATACATAAATGACCCATGGCCCTGTGCTCACACAGGGAATTGAAACCACATTATGTTTGTAAAGGATTTTAATTCCATCAATGTTTAAATTGTCCAAAAGTTATTGACCCAGGGCTTAAATCTGATATCTAAATGGCTGCAGAGAAAATGGATTTTCCTTATATTGACCAAAACACATGTTTCTTAATCCTTCATAAATGGCTGTTGTTCCTGTGTAAAATGATAGTTTGTGTTTTGCAGAAGACAAAGCAGCTGAGATACCAAAAGAATTAGAACAGATGTACAATCTTGGGAAGAAAATAAGCGATTGTGACCAGACAACACAAATGAGAGAGCAGGCAGGCTACATGTGTGAGCTTGGATCCTTGTACACAGCGCTGGCACAAGAAACATCTGAGGGTTGGGATTTCATCTATGCGACAGCTCTCTACAACGCAGCATTACAGCGTATTAAACAATCTGAAATCAACAGTTCGAAAGAAGAGGTATTGCCTTGCTTTAAACATATTGATGCTGACTTTATTGTAGAAAAATTACAACAAATAGAAAATTATTTTCTAAATATAGTCTCAAAGATAAACCCAGAGTTAACAATAAGTAGCACAAAAAGGAACAAAAAGGTTCTGGAGGAACTGAGAACATATTCACGTGATACCATAAATGATATTCATGTTAATGATATGAAAATTGATGGTATCACTTTTGAAATGAATGATGAGAATGTAAATAGGACGATTGAAAACAGCAAGATTTATTATGAAACACTGACAAATAAGATTGTTGAATTTCATCAGCTAGTAATAGGTGACTGTATTTCAGTCTTAGGGGCTCCTAAGGTAAATAGGTATGCATTCATAGGTCTTGGTTCACTCGCTAGAAAGGAAGTCACAGCTTGGTCAGATCTGGAGTCAGCAATAATATATGATCCTTCGGGAAAAATGGGAGGCACTGAAGCAAGAATTTAGAGTCTTGGTTCATTACTTCCATATGAAGGTAATCAATTTGGGAGAAACTAAAATCAATGTATTGGATATTCCAGTCCTCACTGATTTCAACAAAAAACTCCCAGAAGGTCTGAAAGACAATGACTTTTTTGATGAGGTAACACCACAGGGAATCTGTTTTGATGGTACATTACCGAAAGCAAGTAAACATCCCTTAGGTAGAAGGTCTACCACAATTCCCCATGTAAAGCCTGACAGATTTGAGTTGATACAGCCAATTGATGACATGGTTAATTGCCAAAGTGAAGAAGTATCGAAACGAGAAGGTTATAACCTAAGTGATGTTCTTATGACATCAACTCTCCTCTATGGCAATAGGTCACTATGGAATGAATACAATAGGAAGGTTCATGAGAAACTATCCATTGAAAACACTGGTAAGAAACGTGGACAAGCCACAATGACTAATGACTTGAAAAAGTATGAAATAAATCCCCTTTTATTTAAGTCATTTCAGAAACCAGTAAAGGCCAAACATGATGTGTACAGATTCGCAACAATTTCCATCAACACTCTTAAATTATTGCATAATTGTGAATCATTCAACCCTCTAGATGTCATAGAGGAATTGTACCTCAAAAACATACTGTGTGAAGATGCAAAGAAAGATTTACAGCTTATGGTATGTTTAGCTGTAAATATGAGGCATCTAGTATACAGCAGATATGACCAACAGAAGGAGTTCATTTCCTTTATTGTTCCTACTCCTGAACGAGGCAAAACTGGTTCAGAATTAGTTTCTGTGAGAGATTACACTGCTTTATACAGGTTCTATGCAACTCTACTTCCTTGGTTGGAGTTTCTAAAGGAACAATCATGTTATAGTACCTCATACTCATATGCAACAAGATACATTGATAGCAGTGACAATGTAAAAGGGTTACTACATCATGAAATGTTTTTCTTTGAAAACGCACTAAAAGCATATGAAAAGGAAGAATCGAGGCTTCAGTCAATGGACAGAATGCTATTAAGCAAAGAATTAGTTGACGTAAAATTCAATCTAGCAAGGCTGCATTTGGATCAAGGACACTATGATGAATCAATAAAATATCTAAATGAAAGCTTCGAGTTCAATGAAGCACATCCTGGCCTCACCTCTATATATTCAACTGTTGCAATATGGAACAGCCTTGGTACTGCCTATCGGGGAAAAGGTGATCTTGAAAAGGCCATCGCATACTACGAGAAAAGTTTGATTATATATAAACAAACATATGGAGATCAACTAAGTAAAGAGATATCAATGTTACTGTCCAACATTGGTAGTGTTTACTACAAAAAGGGCCAATATGATGAGGCTATTCAACACCTGGAGCTAGGTTTGATCATGGGAAAACTGATATATAAAGATAAAAGACACCCTGCTATAGCAACCTCACTGGACAACATTGGTAGTGTTTATACCAGCAAAGGTCAATATGATGAGGCTATTCAATACATGGAACAGAGTCTGACCATGAAAAAGATGATATATAAAGATCAACCACACCCTGCTGTAGCATCCTCACTGGAGAACATTGGTATTGCTTACTTTCACAAAGGTCAATATGATGAGGCTATTCAATACCATGAGCAGAGTCTGACCATGGAAAAGCTGATATATAAAGATCAACCCCACCCTAATATAGCAGTCTCATTGGGTAACATTGGCAGTGCTTACAAGCGGAAAGGTCAGTATGATGAGGCTATTAAATACCTGAAGCAGAGTCTGACCATGCAAAAGCTGATATATAAAGATCAACCACACCCTGAATTAGCAAAGTCACTGGGCATCATTGGTGATGCTTATCATAGGAAAGGTCGATATGATGAGGCTATTAAATACATGGAGCAGAGTCTGACCATGCAAAAGCTGATATATAAAGATCAACCACACCCTGATACAGCAACCTCACTGGGCAACATTGGTAGAACTTATAATGTGAAAGGTCTATATGATGAGGCTATTCAATACCTGGAGCAGAGTCTGGCCATGGAAAAGCTGATATATAAAGATCAACCACACTCTGATATAGCAACTTCACTGGGCAGCATTGGAAGTGCTTACGATAGCAAAGGTCAATATGATGAGGCTATTCAATACCTGGAGCAGAGTCTGGCCATGGAAATGCTGATATATAAAGATGAACCACACCCTCATATAGCAACCTCTCTGGGAAACATTGGTTATGCTTACAAAAACAAAGGTCAATATGACGAGGCTATTAAATACTTAAAACAGAGTCTGACCATGAATAAGCTGATATATAAAGATCAACTACACCCTGATATAGCATCCTCACTGGGCAACATTGGTAGTGCTTACGACAGCAAAGGTCAATATGATGAGGCTACTAAATACCTGGAGCAGAGTCTGGACATGCAAAAGCTGATATTTCCAGATCAACCACACCCTGATATAGCAACCTCACTGGGTATCATTGGTATTGCTTACCTTCACAAAGGTCAATATGATGAGGCTATTCAATACATGGAACAGAGTCTGACCATGCTAAAGCTGATATATAAAGATCAACCACACCCTAATATAGCATCCTCACTGGGCAATATTGGCAGTGCTTACCTTCTCAAAGGTCAATATGATGAGGCGATTGAATACATGGAACAGAGTCTGACCATGGATAAGCTGATATATAAAGATCGACTACACCCTGGTATAGCATCCTCTCTGAGTAACATTAGTACTGCTTATCTTAGAAAAGGTCAATATGATGAGGCTATTCAATACATTGAGCAGAGTCTGACCATGGGAAAGCTGATATATAAAGATCAACCACACCCTGATATAGCAACTTCACTGGGCAACATTGGTATTGCTTACTTTCACAAAGGTCGATATGATGAGGCTATTCAATACCTGGAGCAGAGTCTGACCATGAAAAAGCTGGTGTATAAAGATCAACCACATCCAGATATAGCTACTTCTCTAACCAACATTGGAGGTGCCTTTGCAGAGAAATGTCAGTTCAGGAAAGCTATGAAATACTACAAGCAGGCCCTGGGTGTGTTGCATGTGGTGTTTAAAGATCAACCACACCCTGATATAGCATACTTAATGAAAAATATAGCAGACTTAATGAAAAACAATGTTTATGCAAGCATCAGTGAAAACAAGGAAGCTATAAACTTCTATGAGCAATCTTTGGCTATGGAGAGACAGATAAATGGCCACGAGATCAATCTGGAAGTAACAAGGTTACTAATGGATATTGGTTTTGCATGTCAGCGCTCCAGGCAAAGAACAAGGGCCATTGCATATCTCACAGAGGCTTTTTCAAACCTTGATTTCATAAGTAACCGATATAAACTTAGTAAAACTAAAGCAATTCAGAAATGAATTAAAAAAGTGAAACATGAAATTGTTTAGACAAGCAAATACATTTGTGCTAAAGACTGCAATCAATCTGCCTAACATAACATAAATATACATGACCTTATCATCAAAAGTTGACAAGGTGACCAGTATGCCTGTATACCAGTCTTATTATCAGGCCATATGCTTCTTTCTTCCTGGGATTATTTTTGGATGAACTGAGATTGAATCAAGCAAGTTGTTCCCTACAAATATTACAGAAGGGGAAGCATGTGGGTGGATCAGTTGATTACATAGCCAATAGTTTTAACTATGGTACTGTACAGTACAGATCGACTGTGATCAATCTGCCTAACATAACATAAAATATGCATGGCCCTATCATCAAAAGTTGACAAGGTGACCAGTATGCCTATTTACCAGTCTAGTTATCAGGCCATATCACTCTACTATTCCTAACCCCTAGAAATGCATAAGATACTCTGTTTGTCTAATTGTATTGTTTAGTATATTTTTGAAAGTACCTTATTAACATCTGGATGAACTGAGATTGAACCAAGTAAGTTGTTCCCTACAAATATTACAGAATGCGAAGCATGTATGTGGGTGGTTGATTACACAGCCGATAGTTTTAACTATGGTGCTGTACAGTACCGTAAAATATCGTGTTGTACAGCACTGAAACATAATATGGTCCCATGAACACTGTACAAACCCATACTTGAGCGGTACCACGCAGTTACCATGCTCTAAATGTTTCATGCAGTACCGAAAATTTCGGACTGCGAATCCAGGATGTAGGTGATCAGTATGCTTATACACTTGCGAGTTAAACGAGACTGTATGCTTACATTATTTTCGAATCACCTAAGACTGAGTTAAGTTGTTCTCTACACATTTATCGCAAGTTTTGGAAAATTTGCGAAATATAATAGCCGCAAAATTCGAAAAGTTCTAATTCCAGAAATCTCAGTCACAAAATTCCTGGTAATTTATTTCACTCAAT